TTCTTGATAGATCTGACTTATCACACTGACGTATGGTCCTATTTTGACTCATGAGGGCGGATTCTTCTGCTTACGACGAAGATAAACTCTTCATTTTGTTTGGAGGTCTTCATATCGAGATGACCATTTTAAAAAACTATTGGCGATAGGCTGGAAGAGTCAGGTTGGACCAATGCTATTTCTTTTATGCGGTAAAAGTGTGTGTTCCCTACATACACCGAAATAGCGATGTTGGACGCGTTGATGTAGTATGGGACACTTATGTAGAAAACAGCCTCAAAAGTGCAACCAGAGAAAATAGAGGGAAGGGAATTCGAAAGCGAGTTCAAGCTCAAACAAATATCCCTTAGAATTGGCATGACTTTCTACGGGTTGATGAGAATAAAAGGGAGCTGTTTCAGTTTCTATCGGAAAAGTTGGCAGAAGTAGCAAATACTGAAAAGAAATTTTTTCAGTACAGTTGGAGAGAATGGCACACATAGACAAGTCAAAATTGCAAACGTGCAAACACAAAGAAGCAGATACGATAGTTATGATTCACGTTTCAGATGCAGTCAGGGATGGTTTTATAAAGATCAGCATTAAAACTGTGGATACAGACGTAATTGTGATCGCTATATCTGTATTTAAGGACACAGAAGCTGATGAGATATGGGTAGCATTTGCACCGGGAAACATTTCCGTTACATTCCTATTCATGATATTGCACAATCTTTGGGTCCTCTTGAATCCATGCTTTTACCAATATTCCACGCCTTTACAGGTTGTGACACTGTATCTTCACTTGCAGGACGAGGAAAGAAAACAGCATGAGATACATGGACTACTTTCCCCGAGGTATTAGCTTTTTTTAGACAGATGACAGACCAACCAAGTACAATATGCCGTGATTTAATTCTACTATTGCTGGAGCGATATGTTGTTCTTTTGTACCATCGGACAAGTGAATCCAACAGTGTAAATGAAGCTAGAAAAGTACTCTTTGCACATAAAGGTGAATCAATCAAGTCTGTACAACCAACACGGGAGGCAATTTACCAACATGCCAAACGTTCTGTGTACCAAGCTGGATTGATTTGGATACAGTGTTTGCTTTTACAGCCTGTTTTTCCATCCCCAGACTTGTATGGTTGGAAGAAGCAAAGCAACGGGATGTAAGAACCCGTTCTGGACAATATTGACAGAGGCAACCTCTTCACTACAGGTACTTGTTCACTGTGGATGCAAGAAAGGTTATCGAGGACAATGCAAGGGTTTCAAATCCGCCCTTCCGAATACAGCTTTGGGCAAGTGTGGTAGAGATTGTGCCTGATGGACTGCAAAGTATAGGGTTTACCGACACAAACAAGATGAATGAACGTGTTATTGCATATAACAGCTACTGTATATATATTACTTTCAATTGTTCTCATCTGATTGTTTTTTTTTTTTGTAAATATTGCAACGTCCTATTGACTTGTTTTATTTTTTTTTGTTATTTCAGCCGCCATCTTGGAAAAACCGGAAGTTGATAGTTTTTCATATTGGTTTCATATCTTTATTTGTTAAGAAGGGTCTAAAGAGATAATATATAAAGTTTCATTGTTTTACCACCTTGTGTACGGTTTCTTTGATATTTAGCTTAGAATTTTTGCAATTTTGTCCGCCATCTTGGAAAAAACCGGAAGTTGATTTTTTTCAGGTTGGCTCCATATCTTATTTTGCTTAGTATGGTATTAGGAGCTTATATACCAAGTTTCATGCTTTTACCACATTGTGCAGGGTTTTTCTGATATTTCCTGGACTACATTCATTCTCGTTCAGAATAAGTGTCAAATATCTAAATAAAGATGTAAAAGAGAGTAGAAAGATACCAAAGGGACATTCAAACTCATAGGTCGAAAATAAGTTGACAACGCCATGAAAACAGTATATTTAAGTCTGTAAGGTATTATTGTAATGTGTTCGGTGGTGTGCGTTGGTGTTCGGTGGTGAAAAACCTACCGAATCGGTATTACTGCAAATGAGTGTTCCCCATGTAGAACTCCGCAAATTTAAACATAATTTGAAATGAAGGTATTTATTCATACACGAAACATTTATAAATAGAGTAGAAATTTTACCCCCTGGTAATTTCCAATGATAGAATCCTTCGATTTTCCCCATATCTTAAATTAAACTCTTGCCCAATTGGTAAATTCTGAAATCAAGTCCCTCAAAACCAACACATTTTCAAGATAGTTTCTCTATAAGGTATACTTAAAATAACTAGTAAACTGGTTCTTTGATTATGAATGTATTCAAGTTCAATTAATTTCAGTGTAACATACAGTGTAAATCTGGTAAATTTGAATAAAAGAACAGAAAAATTGTGAAAATGTTGACTAGTATTTTGCATTTTTTTTCAAAATTATAATGGAACAGTAAATGTCTTGAATGTGTGGATTATGTACTCTATACACAAGATTCTAATTTCGATTTTATGTGAGTTTTAGCAAGAGTGTTATCATTAGTGGTATTTAAATTCTGTAGGAGATGGAGTTTACATTATTTCACACTTTTAATTCTTTATTGAATATTCCATGGTATGAGATCATTTCTCAATTGAAAATAAGTGTAAATTAAGGAAGTTGGATTATGATATTTAAAATAAGTTACAAATGTACCATAGTTGCAGTTGGCATAGGTATTTAAACTGATTTTGTGCTGGATCAGTACTTCATAACTAAATATTTCAAATTTTCTGAAAGTTGAGTGAATATAGGCAATAGAAATAAACATCTTAATGTTCACTGTGTTGATCAAAGATCACAGAGAACAATGCTGTACTTTTCAGAACTCGGAAAAGAATTATCTAGTTTGTTTTGAGGATTTACGAGATGCATATGGATGTAGTGGCCTTTTCAATACAAAGGTGAACAGTCCTATCACACTTGCCAGTCAAGCATCTGTTTAGGCTTTTTCACAGGCAAATTCAGCAATTCATGTGATATGAATGTATATAGCAGATTTCTACTTGGAATATTCAACCACTCTCCTTTTGTGATTTCTTCCCGGGTGTTAAAGTATGGCCAGGTGACATTTAACATATGTGGATATTTCATGTGAATCCAAATATAGAAAGAAGGATATGTGATATGATTGCCAATTAGACAACTATCCATTAAAGACAAGAACATAAAGCATGTTAATAAGTAAATGCTCAGGTTACCCTCTAACTCATAACTGATAGTACGTTTTCAACAATGAGCAAAAAATATACTATAGTGTAAAGACAAAAGTTCTAGTTATAAAAGGCAGGCAATGCATACAAATTCCTGCATAATCACATAATTGCATAATGACTATGGGGTATTTATTCATTTACCTGTTGAACAAAGAAAACAGACTAATGTCTTTGTTCATATATGATTATTAAAATCTTCTACATTGTTCTGGTTGGACAAAAGGAAATAAAAGATCGATAGACTAATTTTAGATTTATGTCTTTAACTAGAAGTTAATGAAATGCAAAGTACTGTGGCTTGTCCAAACAAGCTTATAGTTTGAAGATATTTGTTTCAAGTAGAGGGGAATTATCTTCATACAATGGCAATTATTTTTGTTTTTCAATGATACAGTACACTTTCATTTTAAGTTTTAATTCATGTTAAACAGGATAAAGGAAATGTTTACTTTTGAAATAAAAAAATTAAAACTGTTGACAATTTGGAATTGAACAATGAATATTACAGTTTCATCATGATCTAAAATCTGATGTTAACTGGAACTAATATTTTCGGAAGTTTCATGCAATAATCAGCCAAATTAAGTTGTTTTTTTCTAGAAAATCAGCTGGATAAGCTTGTATTTTAGTGGATTTTAAAAAAAAACCGCTTATTTTGAAATTATTCTCAAACAGAATGGTTATTTTTATAAGAGCAATGATACGGATACTCATCAATTAAAGCTGATTATAATAAAAAAGATGAAATGAAATCATTATAAGGATATAAAATCATTTTACTCATCACGTATATAATGATGTATTTAACACATCTTAACGATGCATGTTTGTAAGAACATGAGGAGACTTTCTACTGCCTCCAACAAGGACATCTGTGCAAATTAGAAAAGTGGATTTCGTTTAATTTGCAATTCACTTTTACATACAATCTTGGATTAAAATAGAGAATGATAATTGGGAATTTGGCAAAAAGACAACAACATGACCAAAGAGCAGAAAACAGCTCAAGGCCGTCAATGGGTCTTCAATGCAGCGAGAAAATCCCTCAACCCGAGGCGGGCTTTAGATTGCCCCTTAACGATGATTTATACAAGTTCAAGAACGCCACACTAAACTACAAAACATACAAATGAACTAAAATTTAAAAAATACACAAGACTAAAAAAGGCTAGAAACTCCTGACAGGTACAAAAATGCGGCGGGGTTAAATATGTTTTGTGAGGTCTCAACCCTCCCTCTATACCTCTAGCCAATATGGAATAAACAAACACACAGCAAAACGCACAATAAAACTCAGTTCAAAAGAAGTCAGAATCAGATGTTTGCATTTCTAGTCATCAATAAATTTGTCAAAAAATCAAGATTTAACTGAAGTTCTTTCAAACAATTTTTTTCAAAAAAAAGACATTTGTTTTTGTTTTAAAATCTCAAATCTTTTATCTGATTGTACATGGATATCATGGGTAATGCATGCATTTTTGTAAGAATTTATATCCAGTATCGGCAATAAAGCTATAATGATTCAAATGCAGCAATACTATTTTTAATAAATAAGCTACATTTACCATGAAAGAAAATATAAAAATCTCTGCACATCCTTGTACATGTTCAATAATTGGAATTAAACTGTATTATGTACAAATGTTTAGATCTGGTATGTTGGGAGTTGTACAACAAACAATGATCATGTAGATCAAGGTACATCACATTTTATCTATGAATATGTACATATATGCATGCATCCTTGATTAGAGCAAATTTAGATTTACTATTTTATACATGTTAAGAGACTAACCTTATGAAATTTCAAATATTTCAGTCCTTTTAATTTGACACAGTAAACAAGTTTTAACGTTATTTAGTTAACAATGTAAATTATACATTAAATTGTCTAGTTTTTATGTTAATTTTGCAACCTGGACATTTTGACAAGTAAAACGGAAAAACATTATTTAGTCTATTTTTAGAAGTGTGGACCGAATAAACGCAAAAATCTATTTATAGGTAATGGAAATCTGACAACTTATTTTTATGAATTGGAAATTTCAAAAGTCATTTATAGATTGACAACCATGAACTTACACAGGCATTATGCATTGCATTATACAATGTATTCTTGTACTACATTGTTGGTACATGCTTTTTTATAACTGAATTATGATTTTACAATCCTTAACATTGCCCCCTGAGGTACCTTGATTGGAATATACACATATAATGTATTGTATGAAAGCTTTGATACTGTTCAACAATTTGAAATGCATTAAATTGTTAATCAAGACAAACAACCAAGCATTTCAATATTGAACATTTCTGAAAGATAAAACGCTTCAATGGGGAAAACTGTATGCCTTTTTTGTGCAGGCTGTGTTATAGAAAATATTCTCTATTTTCAGTGTTTTGACAGTTTTGACAATAGTAGTATAAATATTCATGAACAGGTCATTTATTGAAAATATGAAATTGAATAAAAAATTTTTTTTTTTACTTGTGATACAGTTGAACATAATTCGTTTAAAGCTCTTGGTATATAAAAGTCTCACATTAAGTGTACTTTAGTTCTTATCAGAGGCGGATTTAGGAGAGGCAGGGTAGCTGGACACCCTTTTATGGATCTACATTTATGGAAAAAAGAGACTTTTCACCTATTTTACTCCAAACATTGTCTAGTTTGAGGCTCTTGCCCCTTTTAAATCCTGGATCTGCATTTGTTTATTGATATATTTTGACTTTTCTAGGGGGGGGGGGGGGGGGGGGGGGGGGTAATTTAATATAACTTTTAAGAAAAATGTATCAATGCTTTTCATTGGCTCTCAATTGATCAATTTTTTTGACATATTTCATAAATTTAATCATTTATCTCTTAGATTCCTTATGATATATTTCTTGACACGGGCCGCGCCATGAAGCCATTCATATTCCAAGCCATTTTAACAAATTATTTTTTATCAACTATTTGATCATTATGGATTTTTTCAGAATAAATTTTGTTAACAAAGTTGCTTTAAATATATAAAAGTTACAAGAAAATACAAAAACGTTTTTTTTTATAAATAAGTGTTTTCTTCTTCAAAGTAAAAATAATCTCAAAACTGAATTGTGACTTTTTAATCTGTGACTTTCTGTCCTGTATTTGGCAATACATGGACGCAGATTTATAATTTGTTTGAGTTCTTTAATTTGAAAAAAAAAGGATATAAAAAATTGGCAAACATTGGCAAAATCATTGATATAAAATCAACTAGTGCCTATACAATTTTTATTTTTAATTATTTATTTTTGATGATTTATTGACCACCTCATAACATATTACATCACATATATTTGTACATTGCACTTGTGAATACATACTTTAAACACTGTTTGTATGAATGTGCAGATATATATTTACATTACGTAATTCAGAATCATGTGAACATCTTACATGGCTAATGAAGCAATTAATTTTCCCAGGCACAGACATGAAGGATGGCACAGACTGTTTTACCAGGACATTTCAGAAATTTAAACAGTAACGATTTCCCGGACACATGGAATGGGAGTCTAAGTTTCTCAGGCAATGCTGGAAATTTCTTTAATCAAAATACACTTAGTGATGTAAACAGTAGGACTACAATATCGAATTATTCTCAAAACTCAAGAAAAGGACCAAAATATCCACAGTACTCGATAACATGCATAAGACTGTCAACATTTCAGACATGGCCAACCAGTATACAGCAACACACAGAAACGATGGCAGAGGCTGGGTTTTACTATACAGGTAATGCTAACTCCCCTTAAGTTTCCTCATACATCTGTTATCAATTTTCTAGAATTCAAAATTATTCCAGATTTAAATAAGTCCTTGTTTTAGGATATGTTTGTGTGATTTTCAGTAAAAATTCCCAATTGTTGCCTCTTGAATTTTGAAACATGTTTGACACATAACACATGATTCTGATATTTGAGGTTAATGTATTAATATGTCAGTACATTAAACCATGGCTAACATATTTGTAATTATGACTCCTGCATCATATAATAATATATAAAACTTGGAAATCTTTCAACATGTTCAATTCAACCCAATACATGAGCACATGTTTACATATGATTACATTGAAGACAGTGATCTTGTTATTTTGGCGGGAACATATGGCGAAATCCCTGTTGATATTGAATCTGGTGATTTATAAATCTGTAGACCTGACCAACACTGAAAATTTATTAAAAGTAATTAAAAAGAATAAGATACTATTCTAAATTATGACCTTGGCAATACGCTATTTTGTTTACTTAACATCTTGATTTTAGATTTTTTATTTCTGTTTTTTGGGGAAGGTATCCTAGGTTCTTGCTTAATTTAATGTAATTTATCACAATTTTGGTCAAATCTAATCACAGACTTTTGTTTGAAAAAGCTTTGAGATGTGGCTTTCTTATCCATGTATTATCTTTTCAATTCCTTCAGACCACAAGACAAGTAAATTAAATAACACCTTAATTGGCTTAAAAGTTGTCACGCAAAAGGCTCCTAAAAATAACATGAAGGTATTCAATCAGTTTAATTGGGGTCTGGAGCTGGCATGTCAGTAACTGCTAGTAGTCATTTATTAATTTATGTTGATCATTGTCGTTTTGCTCAGTTTCTTTTATTACCTATTCTAACATCGAACTCGGACTTCTTTTAAACTTTTAAAACTACTTTTTACTGTGCGTATTGTTGTGTGTTTGTTTAATTCACATTGGCTAGAAGCATAGGGGTACGATTGAAATCTCACAAAACATGATTAACCCCCGCATTAATGCGCCTGTCTAAAGTCAGGAACCTCTGGCCTTTGTTAGTCTTGTATGTTTTTTTTAAATTTTGGTTCATTATATGTTTCGGAGTTTAGTGTGACGTCCATTTTTGCTGAAATTGTATACACTATTGTTTAGGAGCCATATGAAGCAAGCCTCCGGGTGTGGGATTTTCTCGCTGTGTTAAAGACCCATTGGTGGCCTTTGGCTGTTTTCTGCTTTTTGGTTGGGTTGTTGTCGCTTTGGCACATTCCCCGCTTCCATACTCAATTTTATAGATGCTTGAATATTACAATAACAAAAGCAGGCAAGTCTATTTTAAATAAATTTGCAATAAATTTGCAAGGAATAAAAGGAGGTATCAATTAGACAACAAATAAACAACAAGAGTGTTAATGTTGAAATTTAAAGAGTTCAAGGTAAACAATTAAATTATACAATCAAACACCAGAGAAATTTATTTAAGAACAATACGTATTTAAGATAGAATCAGAGTAAAAAATTAAAGCTTCACGATACATCATGCTTGATGCCTACAGTATTTTTTTCACTTTAATAACTTTGTTCTTATATATAAATACTTCTTCCAAGTCTACACTTGTTTTCGAAACTTGTGTTTATTTGCTAACAACACTGCACTTCAAAATAATATTAAAGTATGACTCTTTGCTATAAATAGCTATCATTATCTTTGAATAGGACACATGTTATGCAAGCACTTAACCGTTATTTGTACAGGATTTTGAAAAGTTGTCAATTTTATGTCATGTCTATTTTAAAGTTTTATAAACTATAAAGTTGAATCAGTTCAGAGGGAGAATACATTTTACAAATTAATTATTATTTCTTACTATTTGTCAATATTCTTTCAACATGTTCAATGCAAAAAAAATAATATACATACTGTGCGGTATAACCTAAATGCTGATAAATAATAATTAAAAATTGATAAAAGAAAAGTTTTGTTTTCATTTTCTTTTATTGTCACATTTTTCTCAAGCAAATAAGCACATCATGATGGATCTAGATGAAAACGAAATATATAAACTGGAACCTCTGCCCTCCCACTTCTTTCTCATAATATTATGAATGCAGCATTAAGAACTTCTTCATGTTCTTAGTTTTTGGACAAATAAATTTCCACTTATAATAATCACAATCAGGTACAAATGGAAGTGGCAGTGTTCTAGCTAGAATAAAAGCGACGAGTGACACAGTTTTAAGATGAAGGGCACATTAGCACAGTTTCTTGTCTGAAAAGGGTAGTCTTTATTATGTTTTAAGATGAAAAAAAAGGAACTATATCATGTATGATATATTTCTGCAGGATTTTAGAAATTTGGGGTAGGAACAAGTCAACATTTTTTGATTCGAAAAGTATTAATTTTTGTTAAAAAAACACAAATGCTTAGGACATGACTATTCAGAGCTCATGGTATACTGAAATGGCAGACAGTTGTTCCCCTCTATTTTGGGCTAGCTGAATCATTGCTATATTTTTGAAAAAAAATTTTGTTTCTTTATTTTTCATGTGACTCACATACAGCTTTGGGCTTCAAGAACAGCATGGTTGTCACAGATAACATTCACTCCTTTTCAGAAATACATGTTCATAATCACCTTTTTATGAAAAATATACTTGTTGATGGAAATATTAGTTTGATAGTTTAAGATACAGCCAATGTAAAAAAAAAGAAGAACAGTAATGAAATCTAAATAAAAGCAACAGTAGTATACCGCTGTTCGATAGTCATAAATCGATTAAGCGAAAACAAATCCGAGGGAACACATCAGCTATAAGTGGAAAACAACAGAACAACAGAAACGCTGAACTGCTACAAAAACAAACGCCAATATACATAGAAACGGACAATGTGATAACAACTGCCATATTCTTTACTTGGTACAGGACATTTTAAGATAAAACTGTGGGTTGAACCTGGTTTTATGGCTAGCCAAACCTCCCGCTTATATGTCAATGTTAAAAATACCGCTAAAATGACAACATTACGTGATAGGAATACAGTACAAATACGCAAGAACATTCAGGACAGAGAAATACATAAATAAATAATATAATAGTAAATTACAACATGTAAACCACAGAATGACAACGGACAACTCCCATGAATTTACGACAGTATACAATAGAATTATAAACTGTGCGTCACACAAATGTATCAACGCCACAAAAAGTGACGTATTGTTTGTGATGTTTATTTTATCACAGGTAAATATCTAAAAGTAGAATATAAAATTGGGATTGCGTTTGTAATGGTGTTATTTTATGTAATTTCTAACCATGACAAGAATATTAAAATGGAATTGTGTTTTTCTAACCTAGTCAAGAACATTAAAATGGAATTGTGTTTTTGACTTTCCAAAGAAAGTATGTATTCCTCCTAACTGAAATCTTAGGTAGGTATAATTACATTGTTCAGTTTATATTTATAAATATTAGGATGATTATTAAAGATTCTTCCATTGTTAAAGTTTTTGAAAATTAACCTTTATAGTAGAAAGTGTTTCAACTTTAAAACATGCCTTTCTGAGTAATTCTAAAATCATTAATTTCAGTACCGTAGCTACTCACTTATAAGTCGTTAATTTGGGAAATAAAATAATAGATTAAGGAAGGGGTATCGACTCAAAGGCACAATCTAGCACCATTGTAAAAAAATGATTTCTTAAGGTTAAATAAAACGGTTGTTCATAAGCATGTACGCATATGTGAAAATATACGAGGATGGAAGCCATAAGACTGTTAACTGGATGCCATTACTGTTCTAAATTATTTTAATAAACAATTAAAACAAAAAAAAACCAGTTTGTGTTGTTTGTTAGTTCCTTTCAGCACTTGATCAGTATTAATTAGCTTTCAAAACATGGATTCTTGGGGCTTTCATTATCATTATCACTATACAAAAAATTAAAACAGAGAGACCTTTGTCTCAATCATTAAATTGTCCTTTGACAGTTGAAACAAAAACTTCATGTTGTACTTAGAAAACATGAATGTTTAGAAAGATTAAACTTACCTGTTGGTATTTCCATGTTTTATTTAGATCTTTTCAAATGTTGCATCATTGCCTTGAATATAGAACACGATTAATGCAAAGAATGAGGAAGTACATCTAACGTATTTATAAATACAATGTAAATATACAATATGTATATGTATATCGGTATGAAAATAAAGGAAGTAATTGTTATTTAAATTCATACAAATACCTACAAAAGTATTGATGAGGAAATTTTAAAATTTATGAATAGACAATGACCTTGATCATGCTTACTAGTTCTGTCGTAAATTAATTTTAGGTGTTCGATGTTATTCTGTGGTTTACATGTTGAAATGTACTTTTTATTTATTTATGTATTTCTCTGACCTGAATGTTCTTGCATTTATTTTTATTATATTCCTGTCACGTAATGTTGTCATTTTATCGGTATTTTCAACATTGCTATATAGGCGGGAGGTTTGGCTAGCCATAAAACCAGGTTCAACCCACCATTTTTTTCTTAAAATGTCCTGTACCAAGTCAGGAATATGGCAGTTGTTATCACATAGTCCGTTTCTAAGTATGTTAGCGTTTGTTTTTGTAGCAGTTCAGTGTTTCTGTTGTTCCGTTTTGTTTGCTCTACTAGATGATGTGTTTCCCTCAGTTTTGGTTTGTGACCCGGATTTGTTTCAGTTAAATCGATTAATGACTATTGAACAGCGGTATACTACTATTGTCGTTATATACTTATGAATATGACAAATACTTGAAATAATCTTTTAATTTAATTGTATAAACCTTAATGCTGATTGTTTAAAATTTCATCAATAGTAAGCTATAGGGAAATTATGTTTTTATTTTCATTTTATAAAATTTAAAAAAAAAAGCTCTGTAATTGCATGTAATGAGTGCATTTTGCATAAAAAATGGAGTTTAAGTTGCAGTAAGAAATGGTTTTATAGGTGATTTAAAATAACTTATTTCAATAGGTTCCCTGATTGCCAATATGCAAAACAGGAACTACATGAAAACTTGTATTTAGAGGTAACAGTGATCATGTAAAATATTTTACTACAGTTAATTCTAAAATTGGACTTGCAAACCAGTGGGACATTATCTAAAGACAATACATTGTAAAGATTTGTATGTGTATAAATATATTTACATTATAAATAATTATATGAGATGTTTACATTGTGGTAAAAGACAACATAACTAACTGAGAGTTTGCAGTGTGGTATTGGGGTTCAGAACTAGGACTAGGAAATCAATCCACTTAGAAAACATGCTAGACATTACAAGAGATCATCAGAATGTCAGAACCACAAAGTTTCTAAATAATTTTGTAATTTTTAAACGACCGCAAAAATTTTTCGTTCGTATAAATTTATGACGCTGTCAGTGTCGTCGTCGTCGTTATCGTCCGAAGACATTTGGGGTCTAGACTATAATTTGAGTATAAGAGTATGGATCTCTATGATATTGTGACTCAAAGTTCCATGCCACGAAAGGGAAGTTGGGATTGAATGTGGGGGTTATTATCGTAGTTGTTCAAGAATTAGGGGGCAAAAAAGGAGTAAAAACAAGCATTTTTCTTGTTTCAGGTCAATAAATTGTGTATAAGTGTATGGATCTCTGTGAAATTGTACCACAAGGTTCCATACCAAAAAAGGGAAGGTTGGGATTGATGTTTGGGGTTATGGTCCTTAATGTTTAGGAAAAAGGTGCCAAAAAATTATTTTCTAATACTTTGTATCAATTGCTTATTTCTTGAAAAATTTCAATGTTTAATTCAAAGTCTGGAATTATTGGGTTTCTTTAATATGCTGAATCTAACCGTGTATTTAAATTTTTGATTTACGGCCCAATTATTAAATTGGTCCACATTGAGGTCCAAAGGATCCAAAATTAAACTGTGTTTAGTTTTAACAAAAATTGAATTCTAAGGGTTCTCTGATATGCTGAATCTATAACCGTGAATTTATATTTTTGATTTTCAAATTGGTCCAAGTTAAGGTCCAAAGTGTCCAAAATTAAACTTTTATGATTTCAACCAAAATTAAATTCATGAGCTTCTCTGATATGCTAAATATAACCATGTACTCAGATTTTGTATTTTGTGTCTCATTATCAAATTGGTCTACACTGATGTCCAAAGGGTCCAAAATTAAATTTTTGTTTGATTTCATCAAAAATAAAATTCCTGGGGTTCTCTGATATGCTGAATCTAACCATGTTTTTAGATTTTGGATTGGTTTTTATGAAACTAACCCCTTTAAAAACTTAGCTAAATTTGTCCATCATAAATAAATGAATTAAATTCTTGATGTACTTGGATATGCTGGATCTAACCGTGTATTTAGATTTTTGATATATTAGACCATGATAGGTAAAAGTTCAATTCCAAATTTCTTTGAACACATTCATTCTGTGTCAGTAACCTATGATGTGTCAACTATTTTATCACAATCCCAATTCAGAGCTTTATCAAGCTTGAATGTAGTGTCCATACTTGCCCCAACTGTTCAGAGTTTAACCTCTGCGGTCGTATCAAGCTGCGCCTAGCGGAGCATTTTATTTTATTTTATAATGTGTGATGTTTTACTGTGATATACATGTAGTTCATATATTGTAAGAAAACTGTAGCTCATAACAACATAATACACTGTAAATTTGTTTTTTATTACAAGGAACAGTGTATAATTTTTGCAAAGTGTCTACTGTTTGATATGTATGGGTATAGGACATAGAATTGTGACTCAAAAACTCACAAATTAAAGAAGAAATTGTATTATACATGAATATGTCATCAAATCTTTTTATTTATATTTGCAGGTAACAATGACCATGTGCGATGTTTTCATTGTGGCATTGGACTACAGAACTGGGATTCAGAAGATAATCCTTTTGTAGAACATGCTAGGTGGTCCCAAGAATGTCAATTTCTAAAAGACAAGAAAGGCTTGGATTTCATTGCTACAGTACAAGATGCTGTCAGGAGGGTACAACTGGTGATTAACTTTAAATATTCTCATCTGTGCTTTATCATTTAATTGTTTGTCCTCCTTTCCTGCATGTTAGCTTTGACATTTTTGTGTGTCCACACATACAAAGATTAATCCATAAAAAAAGAGGAATTTGCAATTATTTTTAAAAAAATTTTCCTTTTCCTTCTGAGCTAAAACTTGTATAACCGTTTAACCACATGTTTCAATGATACTAAAGTCAAAATCAATAGTAATATACTCACAATTTGTAAAATTAAATCCCAACAAAATGTTTTTGTTATAGTAGTATTATCCTATATAGGACAAATTATTAGTAACTTCATGATATATGGAAATACACTGTTATATTTCCGGAAAATTGTAAATTGTAATTTATACTTATGTTTATAGTATTAGTATCAATAGGTATATTTATAGTATTCAGGTCTTCTTAGGAGAAAGTAGTAGCCTTAAAAGATTTTTACACAACTTTAATGAAATAAAGTATAATATGTTTTAAAAAAAACAATTTTGTTTGTAATTATTTATAAATCCAGGTGGCTAATATGAACATTTAAACCATGAATATATTTTTTATAGCACTTAAATGATATTATTTTAGATTCCTGCATGTTCACTTCCATGCATACATATCATGTATATGTATATGTTTATCTTTTTTATCTCTATTATGCAGATAAGGTGTGTGATAAATGTCAATAAGACAGCAACATACAACAAAACAATGAGATCTGCAAACTATATTTAAACAAATGAAGGCGTTAAAATAAACTGCAAAAATGTAGCCAAGATATATTCACATCAATTCAATGTTGTGCTTTCATAGGAACAAGATGTCTAGGTGGAAAAACAACTAGAAGTTAAAGATGACTACCAAATTATTCCAGTTTAAATGTTTATCAATAATTCAGTGAGATTAATTAATGTTATGTTTTTTTTTAATTTCAGGAAGAGGCCCTAAATACTGATGGCATAGCACAAACTTTCGATAGTCATGATACTGACTGTGAAGAAGATGGAAGTTTTAGATCTGGAGACAAAAGCAGAGGTTTATATTACCCCACTATTTTTTCCTACAAAACTGAAAATTATAGAAGATATTAGTAAAGTTGATTAAGCATTAATATTTCAGCTGTTAATTGGTCTTACTAACTTGAATTCTCAGAAGAAAATTACGGAGTTTAATAGTTCTTATAACAATGCTAAATTATTTATATTTTAGACTTCTTTCCAAGTGGGAAACCTCCAACTAAAGCAGAGAAGAAAAACCCATTGCTGACAGATGCAGCTCAGAGTATACTAACAATGGGATATTTACCTAAAGTTATTAAAAACGTTGTTGATAGAGTTTTGAATGAGAAAGGTAAAAGCCAAAATTGGTTAGAGAAAACTAGATCTAGTTTGATGAGAACTGAATTTCTTCTTGCATGCTAGGGTTTAAAGGTTTTTCAAGGTATAAACAATCCCTTTTATAATTTTCAAAGCTGAATATAGTTCTGCAATTTCTGATAAAAACAAATACTAGCTAGTCTGAAATTAAATTTTCAGTTTGGCTAGTTTTAGCCTGTGTATCAAATCCTCTCAATAACAACATTTACCAAGCAAGGCTTTCATAATTAAAGTATAGGAAATGGCACAGTTTGACGTTTCTTTGGCTGCCTTTGCAAATATTCAAAAAGCTTACATTTAAGTGTCATTGATTTACTTGAACACTACTTTTTTCAATGTAAGTAATTACTTCTTTTTAAATATTACGGTATGGGGGAAAGTGTTTTGCAGCTATTATATCATGAAAAAAAGATTGATGTTTATACTATATGAAATTGCCCTTCATTGAAATATTCTACCTTTGGTCTAATAGATTGACAGACAGTCAGCACATCAGGTAAGAATAAAGTTATAATTACTTATTCTTTTTCCTGAATGTTTGCTGATTGTATGGTAAATGTTAAAGTTGTAAATGTTCACACAGTCAGTCAAATATCTCAAGGATATTGATTTTGTGTAAAAACTTCATTAAGCTTTTTGGTGACTGAGATCAAGATACTGATAACAAAAAGAGTCATATATAAATACTACAGTTTTTTTTCTTTCTTATAATAAAGCAGATTCCCCATTCTTACTTTTTGAAATAAAACCCATTAAAAAAAGTTATCTAAAATGATGTCATATATAATTTTGACAAATTTATAGATGTAACAAAAATGTTCACATACCAAAGACAAAAACAATTTTTAAAGAAAGATTTACAATCCTCCCTTCGTTTCTTTTAAAATAATATAGCTGAAGTATTTATTTATGTTCATTCTGAGTGATGCATGTTGTAAAATCAAGAATTGAAGTAGTTTTAGAAAAAAAAACTTTACTGTAATTTTTAGAATTTCTTTTGGTTTTTATGCAGATACAAAAGCATGTTAAGCTTTCACTGATGTTTAATTATTATAAATAGAGCAATAGGTCTAGTTGGTTACCCAACAAATTAAAGACAGACTATCTAATAATCTTATTTTACTGATAACCATATGTTTTAAGGAACCTTCTTGTAAGCAAACCTTGAATAGTCATCTAGTCAAATATCTTGATCATCCTTGACAAAAAACAACTGCCTAGGTGTTCTTCTGGTAGATTGCTTGCCAATCGTGCAGGAGGTCATTAGTTTGATCCGATGCTGTGTCAAACCAAAGACGTTAAAATTTGTATTTGCTGCTTTTCAGTTAGGCATGGATTATGGGAAAGTTTAGAGTTAGAGCAAAGACTGATCGACTCAGAGTTTGAAAATGTGTCCAGGTTGGGTAAAATGTTTTCCTGGAGACTGTCACCTTGTAAAAAAGCATATAAAACATCCTCTTCAGCGATTTGATCTAGTAAAAGGCAGAGTTCATATTCAAATTACATCAACGTGTTCTCATTCTGACTTGTATGTTATATGAAAATAACAAGATGTGGTATGATTGCAAATGAAACAACACTTCACCTAAGACCAAATAATGTGGAAGGGTAGCAACTATAGGTCACCGTACGGCCTTCAACAATGTAATGTTTTCCACTGGACATAAAACACAGATTCCTCAAAATCACTTTTCAGCACAAAAATTTCGTTTTCATTTTCAAACTTGAAGATCTTTTAAAATGTAGTTGAAATAAGGTAAAGTTATTAATTCAAAATTCATAAAGTTTATCAATCTTGATTGAGCCATTAAACTAAAACATTATAATAAATTTTTTGATAAAGGAGGCACCTAAATGTAGTCATGATCATGATCATATCAATTATTTGGGCATATGTGTGTTGATGAACTTATAGTAATAGCAGAAGTAGAATGGAGATGTTGAATAATTGTGTAGAAGATATGATGAATATTATATTTCTGTCGCCCATTTTTTCAATGGAGATCTTTATTCTATAGGATAAAAAAGTTTTGATTTTTATATCAAGCTTGGTCGATTACAAAAAAGTACCTATTAGGGTCATGAAATATATCATTAACATATATTTTCTTGCTGGCAAGCCAATGATGATTAAAAATGAGAAAACAGTTAAATGCTAAAAGTTTTTCATTTCTAGTCAACAAAATTATTTTCATTTACCTGTGTTTAAAGTAATTGCAAATGGCTGATATTTTTGTTCAAGCATATTGTTTTTCTTAAATTATTTAACATTTCACAGCGGTATAACATTTTTCTTTAATTATTCTTCCCTTAGTTTATTTATTTTGTATTTACATTGTATCATAGATCAAATTTATTTGTTCAGTGTATGTTCACTGGGTTAATATGTCTTTTGATTTAGTTAAGCCATTTCAATTGATATTTTATAGTCTGTATTTCTATGTTGTGATGTTACACTATTGTACTATAAGGGTGAAGGTTTGGTACCTATTAAAACGTTTAAACCCGCTGCAATTGTTTGCACCTGTCCTAAGTCAGGAATCTGATGTTCAGTAGTTGTCGTTTGTTGATGTGGTTCATAAGTGTTTCTCGTTTCTCGTTTTTTATATAGATTAGACCGTTGGTTTTCCCGTTTGAATGGTTTTACACTAGTCATTTTTGGGACCATTTATAGTTTGCTGTTCGGTGCGAGTCGAGACTCTGTGTTGAAGACCGTACTTTGACCTATAATGGTTTACTTTTATAAATTTTGACTTGGATGGAGAGTTGTCTCATTGGCACTCATACCACATCTTCTTATATCTAGTGATTTAAGTTTTATTTCAGCAATTCATGATACCTTTGAATGTAATAGTAAACTATAGAATACATACCAAAGTTGAGTTTCAGAATATATGATGGTCATGGAATATATGTGATGGCAGTTTGGAAAGAGAGTGAGGGTGTCTTTAATTTCCTTAAAAACATGCAACCAAATCCAAGTTATTTTTACTCCTAGCCTTTTTACATTGGCCATAACATCCTTTGACATAGTTCTCTATTTTTATAAAATTTTCACTTTGTACATCAATTCATATTCTATCAATACTTTGTATTTAGGCTGGAATGGAATGTCTGCAAGAAATTTAATGGAAGAGATTAACAAAATAGAGGAGAGTGGTGAAATAGCAAAATCAGAATTGACTGTACCAATAAGTTCTAAACTGAAACATTCTGTAGTAAGCATGAAGAACTTTAAACTTTTCCCAAAAGGTTAGTGACTATAAATAGGCTTTAAAATACATAATGTTTAACAAAAAGCAGCACCTTAGTTTGAGAAAAAAAACACTAAAAAGAAATGTTATGTATCATCTTGTTCAGATGTTTTTTTGATAGCACATTTTCTCACATTTATGATATCAGTACTTTATTACATTTATGATATGAGAAATAGAAAATATTAGTTTAGAGTACATACAATGTGACTTAGTCAAAATCACTCATTGTGAAACTGTCATATATTGCTGGTGATTGTGAAAATTAGTTAGTTTTTAACTGAACTAGCTAATTTGGTCATTATGCCAATTTAACAGGAATGGCTTATATATTATTTCATTACCTAACCATAAACAGATTTTTAAATTGATAATCCATGTAAAATTTTCTCTGATGACAAGCTAATTTACCATTCATACATAATACTCCATGAAATCAGATATTGGTCAAATAAAATGACTATAATTATATTTTTTTCATTCCCAAAACGTTTGCATCAGTTTTATATAATAATCCACATAACATTTTTACTGATGACAAGTTAAGTTGACCATACATACGTAAGACTATATGAAATTAGATATGTCAATTAATGAATCGAATAGATATTATTTCATTACCAAATCATTTCCTGTATGAAGATATAAATTATGTAATTTATAAGAATATCAGATATGAGAATATTATGACAAAGAAGATAAGAACATTCTTGAAAATGATTTAGTCTTGTATCTTCTTTGTTTTTCTTGACAGGAAATAAACCCCAAAGTTTAACCGGTGTCATGACAGTGAACGTTATGAAGACAAACATTTTATTGTATATAATAATAAAAATGAATAAAAGTATTAAAACAGTTGTTATAATAAATTGTTGTATTGGTCATTTACTTTATGAATAGTGTTTGGTTGATGAAAGTAAAATCATGTCTTAACGAATAACTTAAAAAAGATACAAGAGACTGAAACCAGTACACAATAATGTGAATTAATTAATATTCATGGGTTTTACCAACAAAAAAAGTCTGTTAATATATAAGGATATCATTCATTTCGTTTATTTGACACAATGTATGAACTCCTTAAGGAATACATTGTCAACCTCCAATAGTATCTAGTGGGAAATCGCTTATTTTGTAGTTGATTCATATTTATTAAAGTATGCAGTGTTCTAGAGTGTACTGTAGAAGCACTTTAGGTGATTATTTAAAAGGAGTATTTAAAATGAGTAAGTATTTAGGTAAAATGTAAATGATAAAAAGTCTCAAAAGAAAAACAAATGCTTTATGGAAAACTTAATTAAAACACAGCGTTGGTCATGATTTATATCATAATGTTGCAAAGAGTTGTAGAAATATCTTCAAGCTAGACATTTTCCTTTATTTTTTCTTCTAAAACAGATAATGTAAAGAAGATAGCAGAGGAAAACAAGGAAATGAAAGAACAGACACAGTGCAAGATTTGTTGCGAAATGCCTGTTTCTATTGTGTTTTTACCCTGTGGTCATTTATCTTCTTGTTCACAATGTGCCCCAGCCCTGAAATCATGTCCTGTATGTAGATCAGAAATCAAAGGCTCTGTCAAAGTCCAGTTTAAATAACCAAGTCATGTAGTAGCTCATTTACCATTAATGTTTTTTTTAATCTTTGTAACATACCTATAAAGGATTATTGTGTATTTACTTGATTTTTGAACTGTCAAATATTATTGATATTTACAACAAATTATTACAATTATTATTTATATTAGTTATTATGCTTTTGATGATATATTTAATTGTTGACTGGTTTATTAACTAAGAGTTTTTATACGATAAGTTATAACTTTATAGTATACTGTGGATTCATTATTTTTTGCAGGATACCAATTTTTGTGAATTTCATGGGTAAATATTAAACAATGAATGTACATGTTTAAAGAAGTGAAAATTTTCAAAATGCTGATACAAAATCCTATGTCAGCTAAAATACAAGTTTTTCCCAATCAGTGAAAGACAAGTTTAGATCTAGAAAGTTCCTCAGTTAAACATATATATTGGTCATTCTCAATTTAATTAACAGAGGCACAGTACAAATATCATTTCTTCTGTTATACTATTTACATCATTATATATTTGTTATTAAGTCATAACAATTTATTATCATCAATAAGAAGAAGATACATTTCAATTATTTAATGAAAATTGAAAGTCTGTCAAGTCCACCATGAAAATATTATTATCATTGTTGACCTACATGTACAATGTTAGCTGTTACCCAACAACTGTTTTAAAATTTGAAATATCTGTTTTTTTATAATATTTTGTTTAAATTTAGTAAGTTATCTCCATTCTTGACAATTTATTTCTCAAATACAGGAGTGAAAAATGTATACAGTCAAACCGGTCACCTTCTTTCAGCGGTCACCTGTCTTTAACGGTCACTTTCAGACCCTCCCAAACGTTTTCTTTATATAATTTCTTTTCAGCAGTCACATGTCTAGCGCAGTCAGTGGTCAACTCATTTTGGGACGAAATCGTCATTTCAATTTTTAACAACAGGCATTTTCATGTTTTTCACAATCCAAATATAATCATGACAAAAAAATATATGTGGTCAGTATCAAGGTCAAAATGTTAATCGGAACCATTTTGCAACCGAGATCGCGCTATAGGAGATGCATTTGTGAATTTTTTGTGTTTCACTCCTTTCAGTTTCCATTGAAATCCGTATCATCGACTTATTTATCAACAAATATCAACTAATTCGAATGTTTGAACGCGGGTATCCATATTTTTTTAATTGTCTGCTCGCACAACGATAACTATACATATTGAAAAAAAAACCAATTTGGCCCAATCCCAATAATATTCTCTCAAACCTTTAGCTTTAACTTTTAATTATTAATTTGATAAATTTGACATTTAAAGCATTACTGCTGTTAATTGCTATAGTTATGCTTTGATTCATTGCTTGCTAAAATTACTTGAACATCTATAAAACAAAATGTTGGATGAAAAAACCATTTTGAGACATTTAGACATTTATTGTAGAAATTTCAAAAATCAGGGGAAAAAGTGAGGCTTGCTGATTCCATATTTCAAACAAGGGTACATCTTTTCATCTCCAATTTAATTTTCATGCTAAAAAAATAAGTATATTCTTTGGATAAACTTCTGAGTGAAGTTGTGTGTAACAAAAAATGACAATAATCAAACGTTGTTCTAAAATGGTTGTGTTTTTTTTTGCAATGCTTCAGAACTGTTAGCATCACACTTCTAGGATTTGGTGTGGACAAATGTATAAGATTACAATTATTGCAAATGTTTTTTGCCTCAATGTTTAGATAAATAAAGCTTGATATATTGTATAGAAACTGGTAATTGTGGTATGTTTCACCCAGTGTTGTGTTACTGTCTTATTGACAAATAGCCCGCATCTCCTCATAGAAGTATTGGATATAATTGTCCTTTGGTCTAAGTTTGATTATTGTCTCATTGGTAGCCATGTCATCTTATTTGAAAATTTACAGATTGTGTCCTATTAGCTATCATAAAAAAATTTCTGAGTCTGGATTCGCTTGGCATATGTTTCTTGTAGACCAGGAGAAACTCACACTGTTAATGCACTTGTTCGTACTTCAATTAGAAGTTAAAGAGATTCACTCATGTTTTAATTCTTGATTTGTCATATGTTTATTCCAAATATGTTTAAGAGTTTAGAAGATCGATAAACTTCGGTTGCCCCTTTTTTTATATACAATATGTCTGCCGGTATATATGATTGTGAACATATTTTTTTATCTGCACAGACAGGAAGTGCATTTATGAAAATATCAGTATTAGAAATTTTGATCTATATAATATTTTTTTTAAATGAATAATGTATGAGCAAGAAATTGAGAGTGCAATTTTAAACTTAATGCCTGGAGTTTACATTTATATTATTAAAAGATGTTCTATTGGTTTACATTAATTGTTAAAAACTTGATACTTTTATCCAAAATTGTAAATCTTGTATATATTGTATCGATTCTGCAGTGTAGTATTTAGCCTGTTTTTATTTACTTATTACTTTTATGTTTTAAAAAGAAACATTAATGGCAGAAAAAAAAATATGGGAAGACCATATTATCCATAACTTGTATCAGTTAACTTTTGGATGTGTAGAGAAATTTGAAAATCATGCTATATGATCATAGGTTTCTTATTACTTCTAGTTAACTGGTTCAAGCTATCATTGGTGTGATCATGTCATAACTTTTCTCAATTCCTTTCGAGGTTTCCAGACAGAATGGCCCGAATTTTTACTTTTTAGTTGTTAGCTTTTTTAAAACAAGTTTTTGTTTACATTTGTTTAACTTACTTTTACATAAGTTATTAAATATGAAACGGGTGTCGAATGTAAATATGTTATATTCAAGTTTATACTTTGTTATTATTTTATAAGATGGAGAGAAAAAGCTCATGTTTATAAGACAAGAAACGTGCCTCTCTTATCATTTCCATATGTATTTTGCCGTCCATGCCATGACTCCCTAAGTTTTCAATATAAGTTAACTATAGAATGACTATATTCATTTTCCTTTCTTAATTATGCAGTAATAACTGCTTCTTCGTTGATTTTCTTACATTTCTTTCAATGTTTCCTTCAATACTGTATAAACAGAATTTTCTGATAATGTCAATTATGACTCATAAATTATTTTCCTAATCTAAAAAACAGTCATTGAAATAAAATGTCCTCATAGTAGGTTCCTCATTGTACTCAAAAGGTTTATAATATATAAATATCTGTGTGGGCATATACAGATGTAATACTAGTACTTAACAATTTTGGTGGCAGCTGTCAATATCCTTCAGCCGAAGTTCTAAACCTACAGTATATATTTGACCTCTGATTAAATGATAGTTCGTATGAATCAAATATCTGCTTTGTCATATAATAGTACTGTAGAGAATAATTAAAATAGGTCATCTCTGATGAAGGTTACCTGAGAAAACACTATGCTTTCCGAATACCTGAAACATTGATATGTAACTAGCTAGTGGTTTATTATCGATGTAAGTAGTAATATTGATTGATTGTTGGTTGCTTAAAATAAATAGGCAGATATTTCATGCATTTCGGGACATTCAGGATTATAGAAATGTACAATATGTGGTCAAAACTAAAAGTATAAGGTATTGCTATACAAAAATGTAAAATATTTAATGTAAAGGATATATTCTACCAATCAAACTTGGTCTAAAATTAAGTTTAAATCATGATAATATGCCAGAAGTGCCAAATTTAATCCATAAGAAAAAATACAATTCCTTAAAATGGCTTAAAATGTAGTTTTAACAAACATTGGTGATAATATAAAGTAGAAATAAAGACATAATGTAAAATACAAATGTGGTCAAAGTACAAATTAAGACCATAATGTAACGTACAAATATTTTTCAAAACTTATTGTACAGAACAAAAGATCTCAAAACATCATGTTCTAATTGCTTATAACATTAAAAGCAAAATATAATCAACTTCTTATATACAAATTCGGGTAAGAAAAAAGTACAAAATGTAGTCAAACCTGATATCATAAATGATATCAAATAGTTGAGTACAAAAGTGGTCAACATTCTTGAAAAATGTGGTAAGAATGTAATTTAAAAATGTCAAAACGAGAAAATTTCTGGGATTTCCTATTTAATTGAGTAAACAACATGTAATGCACAAACTTGTTTTCAAATCGTCAAAAATTATCCAGAAAAGGTTCTGACATGAATACTCACATAGCTACTACATGTTTTGGTTATTATAGAAATATTTATTTCAGAAATATATATTGGGAATAATGGTAAGTATATATGCTCATTCTTGTATAAACACTGGCTATCATTTTATATTCTACATCAAGGTTACCTCATTTTTTTGCTGCCTTCACAGTTTTTTTCTTGTGTTAAAAACATGTACATTTGTATATATACTTTTAAAAAAAAGAAGCAGACAAGTGTTCCACATCTTATTTCACCATTTCAGATAGTTCCAAGTATACCCTTTACATTACACAAGGAATGTAAAAAAGCTATTGATTTGATTTGTGGATAGAAGGTTCTATAAGGCACTAAGTCTTGTGATTTTTGTCATGAAACTTAATGTGACTGTTGAAATTGTGCTTGTTGCATATCTTGAAATGTTGTTTGAATAAATAAGTCTTTCGGAGGACAGCCCTCTTTTTTTTGTTAGTTATGTTAATAAATGTGCTTCTAAATTTGAAGATTGTGTGTTTGTTTCTTTCTTCTTAGCTTGCCTGGCCCAAAGTGCAAAGTGAGCTTTTGTCATCACTTGGCGTTTGTTGTCGTCTGTTAACTTTTACAAATATCTTCGCCTCTGAAACTGCTGGGCCAATCTAACCAAACTTGGACATAAGCATCATTAGGGTATATAGTTTTGAATTGTGTCCGATGACCCAATCTGTTGACCAATATGGCCGACATGGCTGAAAAAAGGTACAGAGGTAAAATGCAAGTTTTGTCCATTATCTTCAAAACCGCTATGAAAACAGAAAATCTGCACGGGGGAGAGGAGGGGGGCTGAAATGTTCAGATTTAGAAGATCTACGTATTTTTTCATTCCATCAAAACTGTCAGACGACTTCTTACAGGAGTTATTGCCCTTAAATGACAAATTTTACTAATTCTTTGCTTTTTTGTCCAATATCTTAAAGACAATGATAGATAGACGAAGGCTTAAATAAGCAAATATTATCGGTAGGACAAGATCTGCAAATAAGTCAACATGCTCTAAATCGTCAGTCAACTCGTTTTTGGAGTTGTTGCTCTGAAATGCTGATTTTTACCCATTTTGGGGGTATTTGTTGCCTATTATTTTGAAAATTATAATCGAAAGATAGACACTTTCAATAGCAAAAAATAATCAGCAAGATAAGATCCACAAATAAATCATGATGGCTGAAATAATTGGTCGAAACTTAAATGGAGTTCTTGCTCCTTAATGACAATTTTTACCAATAGTTTTGCGTATTTGCTTATTATCTCGGAAACTATCAAAAATAGAATAACACTTTAAATAGGGAAAATTATCAGCAAGACACTTTCTACAAATAGGTAAAATTTTGTCAAAATCGTTGGTAGACCATTAATAGGATTGATTGCCTTTAAATGACGATGGTTTACCCTTTTCTATATAACTAAAGAAGATAGAAAGAAAATATAAACAGAAGAAAAATGATAAGCAATACAAGATCAACAAAAAAGAGATTTTTGTCATGAATTCTTTTCTAGTCCACAATGTTGAAGAGGTTTTATTGTTGAAGATGAACTTAGACCATGGTGAGCGACAAAGTCTCGTTAAAGCATCTAGTTTCTTCTTGTTATGGAGGAGGAGAGGGGTAACATAGAGAGGTTGGAGAGATGGGGTCAGTAAAAAATGACGCAATATAAAAATCTAAGTGAACTAAGTTGCTCCGGAAGGGTTCATACCAGTTCCTGCGCCAATAGTAGAACTTATCTTATCATAGCACGTACAAATCTGGTGGTAAATATTTGGTGATGTCACAAGCGACGTAAAGAAGAGGAGATTGTCGAACACATTCGTTGTCACTTGTACACTGATTTTCCGTTAATGTATACCAAATCATAATTGCGTCTGTATAACTGATGTTGATATGATGACATCAGCTTTACTATCGAGACCCCTTCATTCAATAGTTGCCTTGTTTGCAGCAACCCTCTATCAAGGAAATCATTATAGGAAAGCATCCACCTAGATATATATATATATATATATATATATATATATATATATATTCCATCTGCAGGTGTTGCTGGTATATTGTTACATAGAAACGGAAAGTTCACAATAGGATTATTCAAATAACCGTATTTCAGAACTTTTTGCGTGCATTTCTTATTGCAATGTAAGAAGAAAAGACAAACTTGCTAGATTAATTACTACGATTTTATTACGGAGAGATGCGAAAGATACCAAAGGAACATTTAAACTCATAAATCGAAAAATAAAGTGACAACACCATGGCAAAACAAAAGACAAAAACACAATCAACAGTATAAAAAACACAAAATAGAAACTAAAGACTGAGCAACACGAGCCCCACCAAAATATGAGGGTAATCTCAATTCATCTTGAAGGGTAAGTAGATCATGATCCACATATGGCACCCATCGTGATGCTCATGTAAGTACAAACCTGGTGATAACTCTAATGTGGTAGGTAGCATTCGGGGAAAAGGAGGACGGGATCGTGGTTATGTCGATTGGAACATATCCGTAATCATCTGTTAAACAGATATTCCATAGCGGTCAACCAGTTCGTGATAGCGTCCGTACAATTTTGAAGGGATGATTTCAACTTCACCACACGGAACTCTTGGTTTACTAGCTTCGTTGTGAGCAGCAATCCTCTATCAATGATGCATGCAAATATGATAAAAAAAATATAGATGAAAGGTTTTTGGCATACATATTCAATCGCATCACACGGTATAGCATGTTCGCATGAAAACTGATAACAAATTACTGGTAGCTTTGATTTGTAGTTCCTGAGGAAAATGCGAAGGAATTTCATGGGACATACAGACAGAGGTGAAACAGTATTCCCCCTCCTCCAGAGCGGAGGTATAATTACAGATTTGACTACTATTCTAGTATCTAACGATTTAAGATTATAACAGAGTGCTTTTAGTTCCGGTTTGCATCATCTTGTTCTCAAGAGCAAATAGGAGTATATTACACTATAACATTACAGTTCAACAAAATGACCGTCGTATTTCATATATATATAGGGATTAACAAATAAGACCCTCCTTAAAAAAATTATCAGTCTTCATGTTTGTATCATTTACCGTGTGATGCGTTTTCAGATTCATCGCTCATCAACTTTTATTTACCAAATACATTATATATTCTTATACATAATGGTCATGTATCGCATTTTTCTAGGGAACTACACAGTACAGCTTCTTGAAAATTGTTGTGTGGCTTAATGTGGACATGCTTCACCAAGTGATATGATTTCAGGTTCATCGCTTATCAACTTCCTATTAACCGAATTCTTGAGGCGGGAGTATCATGAGTGAGCACTATCTTACAGTTTTACTTCTTTTACAGATTGTGTCCTATTCACGATTGTGACATTTTGGCTGTTGTGGATTCGCATGGCGGGTGATGCATCCACTGCAGCAGACGCTTATCAAGTCGACAAATCTCGCTTGTTTTGGAGCTCATGCAATTCTCCCAATTTTGTTTGTTACATTGATTTGTCTTCATAGTCGACTTATGAAATTTGAACATCGGTAAACTAATTAAGATACGATCCTTGTTAACTTATTGATGCTTTAAATAAACTTATAGTAAAAGGTTATCAATTTAACACTGTAATACGATCTTCGAATATTGTTCTTATCGGTACAAACATTGATTTTGTTATCTACCATAAAACATATCTATAATTATTTCTATACAGACATGTATGGTCCTACATTATGTCGAGATTTATATTTTGCATCGCGCAAAATCTTTTTGTTTTTTTAACTGTTTATGGTGTCTTTACATTAAATCCAAGTACTGATTGATGTTTTAATGTTAGACACATGTGTTTTTATCAGGTGTTTTTGGCTTTGAACTAGCTTTCAGTAACTGCATGTACTCTCACATCGATTCTTTGTGTTTTTTCTATTGTTGGTTGATTGTTGTGTCGATCTGATAAGTCAAGCATTTTTCAACTGATTTGTTCTAATGATGTTCCGTTACACCATTATAAACCAGGTTATGGGAGAGTTGGGCACCTTCAAACATGACCAATCCCGCCACATTCTGTGATTGTCGTTTGGTGCTGTATATCACATTTATTTTTTCGTTTATTGTTTTGTACATAAATCTGACAGTCAGTTTTCTCGTTTTATTTGTTTTACATTTGTCATGTCGGGACCTTTTATAGCTTGCTTTTGATTTTGCCATTTGATTAGGGACATTTGATATAGGAACTTTCCGTTTTGAATTTTCCTCGGAGTTCGGTATTTTTGTGATTTTACTTTTTGCTATGTGGTATTGGTGTTGCTGATTATTAAAGACCTTACAGTGAACTATGGTTGCTTATTTTGTACCCATTGCGTCTTAAAGAAGCAGACCAGAAGGTCGAAAGGAAAAGCGTCTCCTTCTATGCATGTGCATCATCTTCAATGGGAATCCACATTATGTCCAATTGTGACAATCAGGAATAAACAAAAACAGAACAATAAAGAAGGCAAACGATATCAAAGGGTCATTTAAACTCATAAGTAAAAAACAAACTGAGAACGCCATGACATTAAAACAACAATACAAACAACAGTAATAAAAACACCAAAAAAAACCCCAAAACTGAGCAACACGAACCCCAGCAAAAGTGGGGTAGACCTCAAGTGCTATGGAAGGGTAAGTATATCCTGTTCCACAATTGGCACGCATCGTGTTGCTCATATAAGTGCTTTTTCGGTGCTGCTACATTCGAGGTAAAGAGGACGTGCATATTTTATGGCAATTGGAACATATACGTTGTGATCTGTGAAACATACTGTAAATTCAGCAGTTATTGCGAGGTTTTTATTAATGCAAATAATGCGACTGAATGAGTATTGCAATAATAAAAATTAACATTCTGATATCTGATTCATATAACTGTATGCAGCTTTTCCTTAAATCGCAACAATTAATCTCGCATTCTCTCCATTCTTCAAAATTCGCAATAATAAGTGTACGCAATAATTTCTGAACTTACAATATTCCATAACGTCAACCAACTTGTGATGTCATCCGTATTTTTTTTTCAACTTCACCAATTTGAATTCTTAGTTTAATAGATTACTTGTAAACAACAACCTTACATCAAGGAAATCATGATAGGAAATGCAAGTTCTGGAATATCGAATGCACTCGGAGATGTACACTCTATATACAGGCGCTGCTTGAATGTTCCGACATAGAAATTGAAAGTTTACCATTGGAATGCTGAAATCATCTCTATTTTTAATTTGTTGTATCCTTTTTTTTTTAAGTTCGATGGGAAATATAAATATGTTCCAAATTTTTCCCGATTGTGTCATTACCAAAGGCGATCTATTTCTGTATTTTTACTTGTATGAGCAACACGACGGTTGCCACATGAAGAGCAGGAACTGCATACCTTTTTGGGGCACATGAGTTCATCTCCTGTTTTTGGTGGAATTCGTATTGTATAGTCTTTCGTTTTCTATGTAATTTTGTGCTATTGTTTTTCGTCCTTTTTTGGTTTATTTTACCATGGTGTTGTCTGTTTATATGTTATCCCTTGGTACCTTCTTTCTCTTTTTCAGATAGAAAGAAATGATTTAACTCAATATACCCTCCCTGATTTTAATACGTATGTATTTTTTAAATTATTTTATCCTATTATGTTATTCTGTGGTGAGAAGAAGGACTAGGGATCAATTATTATTACCGCCTTTTAAAGTTATTAAGGATGATTCAAGTTTTTTTCTAGTGAGAATCAGTTCCTTCTATTGGGTTTTTCCAATTTAATATTCGGTTCTTTCTATTTAGTAATCTGACATCGGCCCTACTATCAGTACTATATATTTTATTACCTCCGATTTTTGTAAAGTTTGAATAGAAAATAAAACAATTCAAAAAGACGAATGCATTTATTAATATTTAATATTTCATTCTGTAGGCAACGCCACATGGCATCTTATCTAATCTTTCCAACTCATTATTGTGGTGTGTGCCGCTTGAAGCTTGAAAATTTCTTTCAGTATTACACGATGTCTTCAATGGATCATCCATGTCATCATCTAAGTCAATTATCTAAAAATAAAAATGAAACTTTATATATTTTTTACAAATGCCAGAAATTAAGTGTCGTGTCAAATGTAATCAAAACGCATGGTATGTATATCAATGTACACACAACCTTCATATCTATATCATGTAGGCAATCTTTCAGGAAACCACATAAAAATTAGAAAGCGTCAAATTATATATTGGGCATTGATAACAACTTATACATAACAATTTCACTTTATGAAAAAATGGAAACATGGTAATTACTTTAAACATGTATTCAAACATCTTTGTAAGTAAAGGCAAAAGTAGTATACCGCTGTTCAATAGTCATCAATCGATTAAGCAAAAACAAATCCGGGTCACAAACCAAAACTACACTGGACGTTAAGCAACCAACAATCAATCAAATCAAACCAAAAATGAGGGAAACACGTCAACTATAAGAGGAAACAACGGAACAACAGAAACACTGAACTGCAACAAAAACAAACGCCAACATACACAAAAAAACGGACTAATTGATAACAACTGCCATATTCTTGACTTGGTACAGGATATTTTAAGAAAAAATAGTGGGTTGAACCTGGTTTTATGGCTAGCCAAACCTTCCGCTTGTATGTCAATGTTAAAAATATTGCTAAAATGACAACATTACGTGACAGGAATACAGGACAAATAAACGCAAGAACACTCAGGACAGAAAAATACATAAATAAATAAATAATATTATAGTACATTACAACATGTAAACCACAGAATAACAACAGACACTTGAAAGTAATGACATTTGAGAAGACGGTTAATACTACATTGATTAATAGGACTATCGTCAAATGAAAAAAACGACATTCAAATGAGCTGCGTCGGATAGAAATCGACCTTATACAAATGAATATCAATACATCTGTTTACCTATTTTAGGTTGACAAAATTTCTGTACAAAGTCTGTAACTGTTTGAAAATCGGGTTCATATAAGAACCCTATAAAATATACCAAAAATCTTCTTTTATTTCGCATTTGAATGTTCCAAAATCAATCAAAGTCTTTTACCTGTACATGTACAAAATGTATTCGGGTCCTTGCATAAGGTCGATTTCTATCCGACGCAGCTCAAATATGAAATAAATCAAATAATTTATTAAATTTGTTATTCATCTCATGTAAAACGACAATACACAATATCGATGTACATGTATCTTTCATTAATTTATTTACCTTTCGCACTCTACTCTGCTCTACTCGCTTTCTTATCGCTTCTTTTTCCGAAATATTGGATTGCTGTTGCTTATCTTGAATGTTTTTTCTATAGTTGTCAACAGCTTGGTGGTTCTGTAGAAGTAATCCTTTCTGGCATCCGACTCTGTGTTCGGGATAAGACTGGAAAAAGATTGATATAAACGATATATAATTATCTGAATATATCAGTAAAATAAACCTTTATTATATCATTTGTGTTTCTCGTGCAAATATTGGATACACTTAAAAGGGTAATTTTCTATACAAAATTAGCGGACAATCCGGAGGGTCATTCAAAACTCAAAAGTCGAGATAAACTGACAACGAAATTGCAAAAAAACGGCAGACGACGAAAAGACAAACAAAATAACAAAATATAAAAAATAGAAGATGTGGTATGATTGCCAATGAGGAAACTCAACACGAACCCAACCGAAAAACGGGAAGAGGGGTGTTTCCATTTGCTCCGAAAGAGTAAGCATATTATGTTCCAATATTTGCACCCGTCGTGTTGCTCATTGTAAATACTGTGACAGTACTTTTATTCGTGGGTATTAATTTTCGTGGTTTGAGCAAAAGTTACATGTTCGTGGCTTCTTAAATTCGTGGATTCTAGTTTTCTGAAAAATATCGAGTGAAGCTCATTACTAACAACATTCATCAAATTTTTAATAAAACAATTGCATTCGGAAATAAGATAATTTATCTATGCTTACAAATTGTCTCGACTGAAGGAAATTGCAAAGTAAACATCTTAATTACTGCAGACGTGTAATCAGAAGTGATGACACTAATTAATCCGAAATGAAGTAATCGAAAATTAAAGATCATCAAAGGTGTTAATTGTGCCATAAACTTGTCACTAAAAGAAAACGGTTACATAAACAATGCTACAAATGTACTTTGAATTGTTGAATTAACTCTCATGAAAAAAGCAATATGAAAATACTATTCGGTACCCACCGAATCAAGGTACGTTCACAGTACATAATCGGTTATGTCACAATCGAGGAAAAGGAAGGATTGTGGTTACGACAGTTGGAACATATACGTCGGAATAACTTCAACTTTAACACTAGGAACCCTTGGTTCAATAGCTTGCTTATAAGCAGTAACCTCCGATCAAGGAAAGCTGAAATGTTTTCCACCGACTGTCATTGTCAATTTTTAGATTTAAATGAAGGTATGAGGCAGACAACATAGAACTGGAGAGTAAACAATTTGAAAGCTGAAATCATCCCTTATCTCATTAAGTTTTGTTCTCCGTCGACCCTCATTGTACACTTCTGGATGTAATTGTCTCTGTATATATGTATATGTTTTCTTTACAAACCATTTATAGAAAATGAGAGGGATTGGCAGATTTGAGTATATTGCTTTGTATCAGTGTGTTTTATTTGAACTTACAAGTATTTCGTTGAGAAAACAAACTTTGATTGCGATTGGATCAAATTTGATCTCTCCCTGATGTACTCCTACATCTTTTTCTAGGTACGGCATATTTTGTTCATCCAAGCACTTCATCTGCATGAGGCTAGCGGAGACATCATTCCTCTCTTTGCATCCAGAGTTCCAATCGCTTTTCTTAGAAGTGTTTCCACTCTTAAAAATACAACAGGTATGTTCCATAAATTATTTTTTTCTACATGATGTATATTATACTTAAGCAAGTTATAAACTAAAAATAATGACATAAATTGTATATATATAACACTCTGATGAAGAATGAAAAAGCAGAAAATGTTGTTTTTCAATGCAGGTTGCTATCTCAAAAACAATTGAATTTTCCATGATGTAAATGTATATTAGTGTTCGAATGCTGTGTGTTGTTTATGTATCTTTCTATCCCGGAATGAAAAAAACAAGAATATAGTTCATAAACTTATGGCAAATGTGCCTACAAGCTGTTATCCTTTTTATGATATGCGCATTTGTCATATTTAATGAAGTAACGGAACATGGATCTAATTGCTGTTCTGCAAAATGGATCAAAAGGAAACACCTAACTTTACGTTAAAGATTGTTTATAGCCCCATCTGGTTGGGTTTTTTTTCATCTATTTACTTCACTTGTTACACTCGAGAACACAACAGTAATATGTAAACTCATAAGGAGCTATGTAATCGAAATTAACTAAAATGGCGAAGGCTTTATGGTGACATGTAAGTGTTTCCATCTTTGTCATCTGGTTTATGATTGTTGGGTCCCTGGCGAGCAAATCACATCCCTTATTTCACATGGCTTAACATTCGAAGATCAATTTGTCTAAAGAAATTGCAATTGTAGTTTTAGTAAGTACATGTATATCTAACTGGAAATCTATCCAAGAATATATTGCATAAAACAGTCGCTAAATAAAGTGTTTAATTATTAGACAAAGAAGTAAGCAGAAAATCCAGCAACATCGTTATTGTAAGACATTGTAGTTTAACTGACATCCAATATGACTACAGAAGATCTGATCATTATGAGACATGTATAAAATACATATTATATTTCGCACTATTTTATCTACACGAGTTCAGCTATTTCATTTTTTTTTTTTTTTTTTTTTCAATAATTCCGGTTTGTTTACAATAATAAGATCACTTACAACTTTTGGCAACTGTTCTAAGATATTGTCAGTAGTATTCTCCATGGATGGTTGCATATCACTTCCTGGTGTTTCACAAACCAACGTGTGGCCGAGGGATGGAATATCCTACATTGAAAAAGAGAATTAAAAGGAATCATAAGTCAACAAAATAAGAAATGATGAAATGGCTAAATATTTAGCTTTTGAAATAAAATTGTCTTTACCATTTACTCAGATAGTAAAAAATGTACCTGTTAATTTGGTTTTCATTGTTTTGACTTTTTGCATCTCTTAAGTTGATATAAGTTTTTATTACAAGGCAATTTATCAATGCTATTTAATTGTTTATTTACTTACACTTTCAACAACTGGCTCGTACATGTGTATACTCATATAGTTTCCCATGTTATCTTCTTTATTCTGTAATATAAGACAGAGCTTAAATACAAATATGTGATTTTATTAAATAATATATCTTTGTGATAGTTATTTTGATAATTATAATTATTTAAGGATCAAGACCTGTAATATAGAACAAATTCTTCAAACTTATTGATACTTTTGTTTCAACAACCGTTTCTATATATTTTTATATTTTAGTTTTGAATTAACACAGATTTTGCACCCTACAAAAGTGAAGACGGAGATATCCCTTTCGTAGCTTATATGCTGTGTGGGTTTTGTTCATTGTTGTAGGCCCTTCGGTGACCTAAATTTGTTTTCTACGTCATGTGGACTCTGGCTGAAAGTTGTCTCATCGGAAATCATACCACATCTTCTTTTGTTCATAAGGAGATGTTGAATGATTGACTATGAGACAATTATTCAATCATGTCAATAGAGTCGAAATGATTTAAGATATTATAACTCCGCGTTCAAAATGAACAAAGCAAATTCCTCAAGTTCAGATATGAAAGGATGAACAGGAATGGGCAAAACTAGAATTGACGAACCAAGAATGCTTAATTAGCATTGACAACATTCTGACTGCACAAAAACATTGGTGGTTATCAAGCTGTCTATGTCCCTTAACTCGTGTAAACCTAACGACATATGCATCCAAGTATAATGTTTGCAGTATTGCTATTTGCGGATTATTTTTTATAGAACGGAAAAAGTGTTTATTTTGACGAGAATAAAGCTTTTAATATCAAAAACGGTGCAAATGGTTTCGAACCAGAAGCACCATTCGACGATTACGGATTATAATGATGACGGAGGCCAAAATATTTGTCTGTTTGATTTAGTTGTGGGTGCTACACGCCGTATTTATTACATTAGTGTTTTATATCTATTGTACTGTTATTTCGTATGTTCCTTTCATAGTTTCGATAGTATGTTTCTTGAAGTGGCATTTGTTAATCTACTGACCGGAATTAAAATCAGGGGAGGATTGAAACTTCAAAAGACCTGTTTATCCCGGCCACTGTTTTAAGTTCATCAGTATTCATCGATTGCCATATCTAAATTGTAATTTGTTTTAATTGGCAGATCTGAAATAATGTAATACTTTAAAATTACAGATGATTTTTTTGAAACTCACATTGTGTTATAAATACCTCTATATTTTGAACCCTGTATATTATCCGATAGATGTAAATAAATAAGTACATACGTTAAGGCCAACATTCAAAGTAAAAGAAAACCTCAATTAACTATGATTACCCGGCCACGTTCATTCTGTGTTTTTGTTAGATGTATATCCATTTGTACCCTTCTGATGAGGTAAGCCTTTTCCAACTTATTTTTATAATTTGTTTGTATGTTGTACAGTTACACCATTGTCCAAGGTTAGGGGATGGGTGGGCACCTGCTAGCATGTTTAACCCCGCCACATTATGTATGTGCCTGTCCCAAGTCAGGAGCCTGTAGATCAGTGGTTGTCATTTGTTGCTGTGTTGCATGCTTGTTTCTCGTTCACTATTTTGTACATAAATTAGGCAGTTAGTTTTCTCGTTTGAATTGTTTTACACATGTCATTTCGGGCCCTTTAATAGCTGACTATGCGGTATGGGCTTTCCTCATTGTTGACGACCGTTCAGTGACCTGTAGTTGTTTATTTTTGTGTCTTGTGAAGAGTTGTCTAATTGACAATCATACTACATCTTCTTTTTTACATGTACCATGTCAGGAATATGAGAGTTGTTTTCCATTCGTTTGATGTGTTTGAGTTTTTGATTTTGCCATTTGATTATATGACACAGGAAGTTGCATTTTATACAACGGAAGTAACTATTTTTATTCCTGATTTCAAGTAAAATAATATCAAAACATTTTTTTTTTTCGAATCAGTGTAAAGAAAACTGTCTGAAGACACCCGACGTGGTATTTTGCATACCGGAAGTAGACATTTATGTCACTTATTTCAAAGAGAAATGCATAGAAACCATTTATGTACGAGAAATCACTGTTGAAAAGCATGACATTTGGAGTGACTATTTTAAACCGAAACCCTGAGATCAGTTTTTCTTGGGGTTTTTTATGTGTTTTTGTTTCTTTTTTCGCAATCTGTTCGGATGTTATGCTTTATTACACCACCGTCTTAGATTTGAAATGGTTGAGAGCTTACACATAGATTTAACTCTGCCATATTCTGTATACGCTTGTTTCCAAGTCAGAACCTTATCATTCAATGGTTGTCGTTTGTTTCTGTATACAAATATTTGTTTTTCGATTATTGCATTATACGTGCATCAATGATATAAGACCATCGCTACCTCGTTTTAATTGTTTTACATTTAATTATTTCGGGGCATTTCATAGCTATCTATATGATTTGCTTGTTATTAATGGTCATGAACCTTTGACCTTGATATTTCGATAAAGGTCAAAGTTTAAATAGACGTTCCAAATTTTGACCTTTATTTTAACTTAATACTAGTATATGATGAAGGCAAACGGCCTTTAACATTAGGCTGGTTCCCATATGACCTTGAAAAAGGTCAACCGGAAGTATCCTTAACCGGATTTGACGTTGTGTTGTGATGAGTTTTGTTGACAGAACGTAGCATTTTGGCATTTATATCAAGTTGCTGTATATTTTTAGAATTTTTAGAATTAGATGTGTTGGGATATAGCTCATTATCTATATAAAGATGGGACGTAGGGTCATATGATATGAGGTACTTGCATTATGACCTTGAAATTAAGTTCAATGTATTTGAAGTTTTTGATCTTACTCTATTAATTCATATTTTTTACGTGATAAAGCAATAGCGTTTTTTTTTTTGCATTCGGTTGATAGACATACAACTTTGAAAAGGTCTGACGAAAAGGCCATTTCTTAAACCGGAAGTATTCATTTCTTGTACTGATTTAATATAAAAGTACATAGAACTATATTTTGGGAATCATTGTGAGGTAACCAGACGGTATTGGGAGTATTTTTTTTTTTTATTTTTTAAATCGGAAGCTGCAGATTTTCTCCATTATTTTAAGCAAAAAATTATAGAAATCATATTGTTGTTGCATAAGTATGAATGAAGCTTTTATATGCAACCGAAAATGTTATTTCCAAACCGGACTTAGCAAATTTTTTCCCTTATTTCAGGCAAAAGTATATCGAAACCAAACATTTTTTAAGAGTGTAGGAACCTAATTTGACTCTTTGGGTAAACCGGAAGTAGCTTCTTATCATTTTTTTTTGGAAAATTTTAATTTGTTAAGACCTTCAATTATTCTCTCAACAATTGTTTTTTTGATTTTTATAGCAATTGGGTTGCTTGCGTTTTGGTTTTCTTGGTGGTGATTTATGGATCTCGAGAACTATTTCCAGTTTGTTCCCCTGTTTATCTTTTCGTCTATCGTATTTTTCTATTTGTCATAGTGTTTTTTTATTATCTTCGATCTATTATCACTATGTATTCTCAACTGTTTTTCACCAATGGTATTTTTGTGCTAATAGTTAAAAAAAATTATCTCGTTCCCGTGTTTTCTTTTTTTTTTTAATTCAACGTTTTTTGAACTTTGGGATAAAAAAATACAGGGACTTTCATAAACAAAATTCGAATGAATACAACAACCAACATAATAAGAACACAATATCAACTAATTAGCACTATTTCATCGATTATCCAAAAAATTATCTAATGATGTCCTGACCGATTGTATCAACAAGTTCTCCGTTTGTGCATTCGTTTGTTCTGCTGACGTAGTGAGTTACTTTTGTTTTAATAACAATCAGATCCTATTTCAAAATTAGAATAGCAACATTCATGAATATTTGTATTGAAGATGTAAGCTTACTTTTGTGGCTCAGAGCACACATTGACAGGTTTCGTATTTTAACAAAAATGGTAAGGGGTCATTTTACTAACGATCAACGATATTGTCTCGAGCAGAATGTTACTTTTACGATTTCTTGTTTCTGACATATCATACTGCAATGAACAGTATTATTTGTTTAAACAACTTTTTTTTGAAAGTGCACAAATTTCAATTTTACAATAGACAACGAGGGGTTCGGAAACACCCAAAACCTATCTGAATCCTTCTCCCTTATTTTCGTATTTTAAAGTTAACAATATTGAAATTTGAATTATATTAACAATCTATCAGGAAATTTTGATATCGTATATAAATGGAAACGAAAGCAAAAGTGCATTTTTTTTTAGATTTAAGTAAATGTAATTTGTAATGTGTTTAAAATAAAAATAGAAAAATATTGTATTGCCATATTTTCAATACTTTCCGCTAATTAGAATATTTTAATGTATAGATATTTTGATATGTCAGATTTTGGCTCTTTATAGAAAATCACTGTTTTAAATTTAACATGATGTTTTAATTGTTAAATAGTTGCAGAACACTAATTCTGTATCGGGTCTTTACGCTATGTTTAGTCTTCTTTAGCTTAACCTATATGATTGTAATGTTATTGTTCTGTTTTATCTACATCATTTTGACACCTGGATCCGGTTGTTCATTTCTTGGTTAAATTACATCAGAGATTAGATACCATTACCCTTGGTTAACATATAACCGTAGGTTGTTCATCCTGTGGTAAAATGTAACCCTCGTTAAATCCTTCATTATAAAATTCAGATTAAACCTTGCTTCGGACCTCTTTTAAACTTCTAACAAAGGAAAAGTGTGGTCTAAATGAACAATTTTCTGCTTAAAACTAGACTAGAAATGTCACTAAACTTTTGATAAAACATATTTTTCGTTTTCCTCAACCATTAGTAGTTCAATACTGATTAGGTATTACGTTTTACAGTCTTTCAACGTTATTCTGATCGATGTCTATTAACATTTTCAAATCTATATCTTATGTTACCATGTCATCTTTTATGCCTTTAAATAACAAAAATGATTCCTATTAGGTCCGCGCTGCTATACTATTTAATGAAACTAAACACTGAAAAGCGAATTTGTTTTTCATAAGAATTGTATTGATCAAACAATTTTTCGAGGACCGG